GATGGAATCCTGCAGAAGCTGTGCGTGGGGGGGGGGGGGGGGGTGGGGGGTGGTGCAGTGCGGTCCTGGTGTCCCTGTCCTGGTTGTCCTGATGGGGAGAGTTCCGAGCAGCCGAGCCGAGGGAGTTGGCACACGGCACTGTAATTTACGCCATCTATCTCTTTCTGGAACTTGCGCCACTGGCAAATTGCATGTCTTTGTGTTGGATTAGTTTGGACTTTAATCATGCATTATTTTCCCTCCAATTAAATTATTTATATATTTGATTAACGTTTCATTGCTAGGAAGTCAAATGTTCGATGAAACCACAAATAAACACATGCCCATTGAATTTCAGGCCAGCTTCACGCGGGAGCATTCTGTCGGTGGAATGCTAAGAATTCGCTGCGTGTAGTCTTCTTAGCTACCTGGGGATTTGGGTGAGCAAGATCCACCGGGTCCTAGGAGCACAGAGCAGGGGGAGTCTGTCTGGCCTCCCTCCCTCCCCTTGTTTAGCCTAGGATCCTGACTTTTTTTCCTTCCTGTGGATTTTGTCTTTTCCCTAGCACTGACACCTCCCTCGCTCTAATTTCACTTCCTCAGGCTTGACATGCCTGACCAAGAACGTCATGGGCTCTGCTAGCCCAAGAAGGAAACTGAAATCGCTTAGTCAGGGATGAGCAAACTGATGGCCCACAGTCCAGCTCTGACCCCCTGCTTGCTTTTGCACAGCCCATGAGGGAAGAAATGGTTCTTTCAGTTTTAAATGGTTGAAAAAAAAATTTTAAGACTGTTTCTTGACACGTGAAATGTTCAGCGTCAAAGATAAAGTCAAAGGTAAACAGCTGCACCCATTCATTTACACGTTGTCTATGGCCATTCACCTAAAACAGTGGCAGAGTTTGAGTACCTATGACCTTTTGGCCAGCAAAGCCTAAAATAGTTCCTATCTGGCTTTTTACAGAGAAAGTTTGCCGACACCCAATCTAGTTCATCACCGGGATTTAACAGATGAGAAAATGAAGGTTCAAGTAGGAGAACTGACCTGTCCAGAGATACAGAGCTCATCAGAAGTTGGTCTGGGAGGCTTCTTCCAATGCCCACCGCACGTTCTTTCCCCTGTAGTGTAGAGTCTGCCTCGCTGCAGAGGTCAAGCAGCTTGTGAAAGAAAAGTAAATGTTTAGGACACATGGACATGTAAAATGTATTTCTTAGAATTATTTTTTTCACTTGAAATCTAGAGTCAGGAAATGCGTTCAGCCTAAAATGCATTTGAACTACCCAAGTAGGCAGAAGGATGTCTTCGTATTTCTTTAGAGTAATTGATTACATCCCGTGCTCAGCACTTGGACCCCGTCCCCACCAGCCGAGGTGGTAGAATCTCATTTCAAGAAAAATAACTTGTGGTCTCAATCCAAGTTTGCACTCAAGAGCAGTTTCAGAAAATTACAAAAGCCTATTAGACATTACTCAGGTCTCCTGTACGGGGTCCGAGAGGGAAGACCCCCCAGACGCTAACCTTTCTGAAAGTGAGGTTGCTCCTACTGCCTAGCGAAGGTTCTTCCTCGTCCCTCCCCACGTGCAGATCGGCTGGCTGATCGGCATGCGATTCCCAGCCCTGGAATTTTCAGACATTGTCCCAGAGGCCAAGGTCGACGATAGTTGGTGAGGTATAAATAGGAAATGGGATCTTTCAGTTACTGCTCTCTCGTCAGCTTCTTGTCCACTCCCTCCTCCAGCTTAGTAGTGGGTCCCTCCACACCTCGGTAGGCAGCTTCTAGGACTTGGCCAGCCAGCCAGTTTCAACCTCTGCTTCGGAGCCTTCCATCGCTATTCTGGCCAGGCGTGCACCTGAGGGGACTGGTGGGGTGTTGGTGGCATCCACCCAGCCCGTGGAAACTCATGCCTTCTTACCGCACCAGGGAGTGGCCATGCTGGATGCCTCCTGGGTCTGCTAGACCCACCCTCTCCTGCCATGTGTGTTCTTTACGTACCACACATGGTCCTCACCCTGTTCTGTCCCATTGGTCTCGCTTTTCTGCGATGGTGACCCTTTCTCCCCACACTGTCTCTTATCTGCACACCTGGCAGGTCTCCACGCATCACTTGGGCCCTACCATAAATGCCCCTTCACTGAAGAAGCTAACCCTCCTCTTCGGTGCATCACACGGATTTGAGACCCCCTATTAATTATTTTTAGAAAACCCTCTTACTTCCTTTCGCAACACTGATCACAACTATAATTGTATAGTAATTTAAGACATTATCTGCTTGGCTCCGGTAGACTATCATTTCTTAGGGCAGGAAGCATGTCTGTCTGGTTCCCCAGCATGGGGCTTGGTATGGAGTGGACCTCAGTATGCACGAGTAAATGCAGGACAGATGAATGGGGTGTTGCAATCACGTAATGTACAGTAAGCATTTATTAACTGATGAGAAAAAGTGTTTCTAGAAAACTTGAGACTCGGCTCAATGCAACATCCCCTCAGAAAACTCTAGATATTCTAGCTCATACTCTGATAATCCCACCGTCTCCTCTTGGAGACCTGGGGATCTTAGATAACAAGCACTCAGTTCTGTTCAGGAAGTGTGTGTGCAGAACAAAAAGAGTACACTCACCCAGTGTTCCCTTATTCAACCCAGCAAGGTAGGATTCGTGTTTGGATATCATTCACATCCTTTTGACTTCTTGATAGTGTATCATCTTAAAGTGATCAAACACATTACATTAAAATCATATTGTATGGACACTAGGTGAAATGAAGCTAAGTTAAGATAAGCAGAAGCATCAAGTTCAATCTCTTTTGTCCAGTGAAAGTTTAGTTTGCCACATGAGTCCAGTCAATTCAGCAAAATATTTACTGAGGACCTGCCAGGTGCCAGGGACCCCCGGCCAGTTGCTGAGACTATGAAGCTAGAAGCTGTGGGTCCTGTCCTCTAGGAGTAGACTCAGCCCGAGTTCTAACTCTGTTTTCCAGCTCCACCTGCCTCCCTCTTCCTTCCTCCTTCCCATCCTTTCTCTTTGTTCTTTCATGTCCATCAATCCAAGGAGCTTATTTCCAGTAGCTTGGGGAAAAGTGAACCAAGAGCAGTTTATATGGGATGGATTCGTGTGATCGGCAGGAGCTGCTTGAGGAGCGGGGAGTTCATAGCAACTACCTTTCTCTGCCCTCACCCAGTGTTCAAGTCCAGGAAGCAGAACACACGTCACTTTTTCCTGCCGCGGCAGGCCCCCTCCTAGAGGAACCGGGCAAGGCTGGCTGAGGGTGGAATCTTACCCACGGGGCCCCCAGAGACCACTCACTCATGAGTCAGAGCCTAAGCAAGAAAGTAATTAAACGTTCTGTTATGACCATGCAGTGCATGGAATCCGAAGGGGGCTTTCTCTCACTGAACAGGTTCATTTGTGGTGTGTTTTTACGTACGTTGAGAAAGTCCTTGCAAGAATCTTACATTAAGGCAAACAGAATGTGGGGTAACCAGAGAATAAAACCGAAAGGATCCACCCAGGACATTGATTTCCTCAGTAATTAAATGGACATTTAAATCACATAATCGTCTTACTTAAACTGACTTAAATTTGATCCAAGGTGAGAACCTTCTCTTCCTTGGGTGTTTCTGTAGGGTTCTTTGTGTCTTCCGGTTGTAGGACCCTTGAGATATGACCCCAACGAACTATATAAAAAATGGTTCTAAAACTGAATTAATGAGGCATTCAGGGAAATTCATCTTTGTTTTACACATGAAGTTAAGAGATTTCTATAGAGCTGGAAAGGAACCTTGGAGCCTAGGTGAGCCATCCCTGTGTTTTGTACATCAAGAAGACTACCATCCAGAGACGATAGCATTTCTTTGGTCTCCTGGTTCTCTTCAGTATTTGGTTTATTTGTCTGTGATTCATCGAAGAAAAAAATCCCACTAATTGGAACTAAAGTGTAGTTTGAGAAAGCACTTCGGTTTTTGGTGCTCCTGTCACAGAATGACGTGTGTGCATGCACACGTGTGTGTGTGTGTGTGTTCCCTTCCTGAGATCTCAGCCACAGCGCTAACCCGAGCGGTGGGAGCTGGGGAGTTCCCCTGTGCTCTGTTGACCTTGACCCCCACTCGGCAGGTGAAAAAGGGGGAGGCCCAGCGAGGACGCATGGGCTCACCCCATTTCACAGCTCCCCTTTTCAGAGGCCGTGTGCGGTACCTTTTCTGGGCCACCAGGCCTCCTCCAAATAGCACCACTCCTGCTGGTTAGGAAATTTACGTGCACGGTTACTAAGAGCAAATTTACTTAAGAAACATACCAAAAAAAAAAAAAGATCATCTATATATAAAGTTATCCTATGTTCCTTAGGGCTGAGGGTTGGGGCACTTCTTGCCCTCCCTTCTGTCACCTTCAGAAATGCGTCCTGCATTCCCACGCACTTTCCCTTTCTTTTTCCCCACCCCAGCATATAAATAACGACCATATTCACGGCGAGAAGAAGGAATTCGTGTGCCGGTGGTTGGATTGCTCGAGAGAGCAGAAGCCCTTCAAAGCCCAGTACATGCTGGTGGTGCACATGAGGAGGCACACGGGGGAAAAGCCTCACAAATGCACTGTGAGTGTGCGGCACGAGCTGCGGGCGGGGGGCCACCCGGCAGGGGCGCTTGTCAGGCTGGGGTTCGGGTTCCCCCGCGGGGGGCGGGGCGTCTGCACGCTGTGCGGATGGACACGGCCAGGCGGCGGGAGGAGCCGGGGTCTGTGATGAATGCCCGGAGTTCTGAGAGGGTGTTCTGGGATGGGGGGGAGGCCAGAAGTGGAGAAGGAGCCCTGACAACCACACTTCGGGGGACAGCGGAAGCGCTCTGACCTGCCCTGTCCGACAAGGTAGCCTGAGGCCACGTGTGCCCCTCGGGTGCTTTGGACACCTGGCCAGAGCAACCAAGGAACTGATTTTTGTAATTTCATTTTTTAAAAATGTAAATATCAACAGCCTCTGGTGGCACGTGGCTCCCACATTGGACAGCAGACTGGCAGGCGGGCGGGCGGCAGCTGGGATGCACTGGTGGGCACTGGGAATGAGTGTGTGGCCAGCATCCTGCCCTAGCACTAATGCCCATCACGCGGGAGGACCCGGAGGGCAGAGGGAGGTGCCAGCTTTGACTTGAAACCCTTAAGCTCACTTTTAAAAACAGAACCCACGTGACTTCAGAGTTTTCCTTTGCCTTCCTAGTCCGTCCCCATGGCCCTGTGTAGACCCACAAGAGGGCTGGGACTAAGCCGCCTTTCACCGAGGTGCCTCCAGGCTCACTGGGCACTGCTCAGCCCTGTGCTTTACATCTTAAAGGCCCTTTACAAACACGATCAAATTCCATGCCTTTGTATGGACACAAAGCCATATTAGTGAACTTTGTGCTGAATCTAAAATCAGTGGGAACTTGAGGAGATCAATGAGCAGATAATGAAACCCATTGTCCACATTGAGTGGTCTATTAAAAAAAAAAGAAAAAAAAAAAAAACCTCCAGGACTTTTTAGTAGCCCTGAAAATGCTGTCTCTTGAACTGCCCTGAGCCCCATCTGAATCCCAATAAATGCAGAGTTTAGTAGACTTTTGTTCCTCGGTTTTGAAAAGCTGCTGACCCTCGAAATGTCAGTCTTTCATCAATTTTGAGGGAGTGTTAGGCATAAGCCGTTATTGTGTGGGGTAATGCAGATTTACCTGTTGTCCTCAGTTTGAAGGTTGCACAAAGGCCTACTCGAGACTAGAAAACTTGAAAACGCACTTGAGATCTCACACTGGAGAGAAACCGTACGTCTGTGAGCACGAAGGTTGCAACAAGGCTTTCTCAAATGCCTCCGATCGCGCCAAGCACCAAAACAGGACGCATTCCAATGAGGTGAGGCTCCCCCACGAGACACTGTTTGGGCCCCGAGCTCAGGGTGGAAACAAAGAGCCCTCACGGGCAATGCACTTGGAGACAAGGACCATTCCGTTTCATTTCCTCTTGGCCCAGCAGGACTGGGCGCTGAGGCTGCAGGTGAAGGCCTAGAGCCTCCTCTGCCATGGGGCTGGCTGCAAAGGGTCCTGGTTTGGTGAGTAATGCAGACCCAGAGAGAACTTCAAACCCCTGGCAAGCAAGTTTCGCCTTGTTCAGAACTGCCACCTACTGGTCAAACAGTAGGAGCATTTAACTTTGGCATTCCACCCACTTGCTCTGCTTGGAATAGCATGAATCCCTGCAGAGGACGACCCCGTAAGCAGCAAGGATAGACGGCCGCTTTTCCTTGCTTTCTCCAGGTGGTATCTTCAAATGCGTTCTGGCCAAAAAGACCTTTACAGGGCAGCCAGCCGTGGCCAAACATGATTTCCAGGCATTCTAAATTCCAAAGGCTCTTGAGCTATTCTCAGAAATCCAGAATGGTTTCTAGTCAGTCATTTAAGATCGCATATTGGATAAAGCTTCAAGGTTGGTGGGTGGTTCCTGTTGTGTTGTGGTTTGTCCATAGTCATCCCCCCAGAATTTCAGAGCAGCCTTAAGAATGAAAGTGGTTTCAAATTATTTTGCCTGGGTTTTAATGCATGTCTGCCTGAAGGCCTCCAACTTCTCTTTGAAGAAGGTCTAGCGCAAAGTTCTGGCTCCTCTGTGAAACCTTCTCTTGAATGAATCCAGAGATTAACAAAAAGGCTCCCCGCCTTTTGCATAGAAATAGGATATTTAGCCAGAATTTGTTAACATGAGACATAGTTCTGCCCTACTAAGGAGGTCATCAGTTTGCTTGACAATGTGAGAGAAGGAGCACATGACCTGGCTCAGCAGCTCAGGGACCATTGGCTGTAAGGTCCTCTCCAAGTGTCCCTTCAGCTTACAGGACAGAGCAAACACATCTTTAATGGGATGAGCCACACTTTTCTTAAAAAGACCACACTCACTCTTCAGCTCATACATGCAGGTTCACACGTACAGACTCTTTTTGAAAGGGTCATGGCAGAATAAGGAGACTTACGTCATTTGGAGTCTCTTATTATTAATCAGCTGTTGGAGGATGCTTTAGGGGAGTTGCCACATCTCCATTTTTTTATGTCAAAAACGCCTTTACTACATGTAGAAGTTGCTATGTAATCTGCTGTTCTTGTTTTGTGCAAAGTTTTAGGGAGTCTAGGCGAATCCGTAGAGATAGAAAGCAGATCAGTGGTTGCCAGAGGCTGAGGGAAGGGAATAGGGGGTGACTGCTAATAGATACAGGATTTCTTTGGAAGATGTTGGAAATATTCTGGAATTTGATTGATAAATGGTGATAATTGCACAAGATTGTGGATGTACTAAATGCCACTGAATTGTGCAACTTAAAAGGGTTCTTTTTATGGTATGTGGATTATATCTCAATTTAAAATGTTTTAGGGGATTCAATTAAGTTAGAATTAAATTGATATATTTAACTGCACTCTAGAAATTTAGAAGGTATTCATTCCTATAGATTTTAGGACAAGTTTCCCTCCTGTTATTGTGGAGAAATTGGGGCAGTGGGTGTGTTAGGATTAGCAGTGAACATATACACACATACTTACTCAGCTTTTTATATTTCTTAAGGACTTAAATTATGTGCATAGCTGTTTGCTTTGCTTAAATGCATTAGAGTGGAGCTTGTCCACTTCCGTGAGGTCAAGAGTGTAGCGCCATGTGAGAGTTTATCCATTATGAGATTAAAAGTTATCCTGTTCAATCATATCTTTCGCCAGGGTTGAGCAGTGTATCTAAAATAAGTTAACCACCTTGACCACGCAAGGCTTTGGCCCTCCGTGTAAATGATGGACGGCTTCACATCCACCAAAATTAAGAATCTAGATTTGTGTCATGAGCCGGTCCTAGATACATCTAGGTATCTTCTTTCATTTATTTGCTCTCATTTATTTGTACTTCCATTCATTCCCTAAACAAATATCGATAGCTAGTTAGGTGGCGCACGCTTTGCTGTTGTGGGTGTAGAACAGAATACCATGGACTTGAACAGGAGGGGCATCATTCCCGCTCGGGAAGCCAGTCTGGCCTTCCTCCTGCACCCTTAGGCTGCCTCACCCATTTGGGGCCATAGCAGTGGCCTCTGCCAGGGATCCTGACTCTAGACCACACAGCTCATGTCCCCCCAAAGCCACACTAGGCAAGTATCCTTGAGCTCTGACTCAGTTGTATCTCCCTTTCCAGAACATTCCAGTGGCTTCCTCTTTCCTAGAGGGAAAGTTCAGATTCTCTCGGCTTGCACCTGCCGGCACCCGGCCCAAGCCTGCCCTTCCAGGCTTGACCTCTGACCTCTGTGGCCATGAGTGGAACGGGACAGCCACACCCGCATGCGTTAAGTGGTCCTGCCTCTGGACTGTGGCTTTCCTTTCACATCCTCTTACCTTCATTTTTATCCCTCAGAATTTTGGTCTACTTTCAGGACCCAGCTACAGAGCCTTCTCCTAATAAAGTTTGGTTCACTGAGTAATTACTCTGTGCCACAAACACATCGTGATGAGCATTTCATATATCATCTTATTTCACCCTCAGACCCCACGAGCTGGGTGTTATACCCAAATATAAAAGCGTAGTAACCAATGCTCCCCACAATCATCCCAACTAAAACATGATTGTCCTCCGTCCACATCCTTCTGTGGCATTCATACTTGGGCCTGGTGATAATTACATGCTGTCTTATTTTTCCTGCACATTTTGTAACCCTGGACATTAAATCCTGCAGTATATGAGTCTTGCCTATAGTGAGGACCATTAAACGTTTATTGAAAAATTTAGTTGGATAAATGCTACAAAGTCAAGTAAAAAACACAGCAATTACTTTCACGAAGTACCTTTCAGTTGAGTGAGTCAAAAAGGAAACAACCATGGCAAAAGTTGAACGTCTAGGACGGGAGACACAGGGAACTCAGTGAGACTGACAACATTTATTATCCCTGCGTACACTTATATTTCATTTCAGTCATTGATGGCAAGCAAAGACTTTCCACCTCTATCTGTGTCCCCCTTTTCAAGCTAACCCAGGGTATACACATGCATATACTTATGGGAAGAGTAGCTCCTCAGGCGTGTTATGCGGGCCCGGCTCTCTCCCCGCGCCCCCCTGCCCCCTGCCCCCGACACCTGCGCCATGCATCCCGGCGTGCCCACTGATAGAACAGTCCATCACGGCAGCACGTTGAGCCGGCGTTGGGCCGATGTCAGGATGCCGTAAGGTAATAGCACTCATTGCTGGAGCCATTCTTCTGTCCCTAATGCATAGAAGTCAGTGCGCTCGTTTCATTATATATGTGCTGCAAATCACACCAGCCCCTGAATAGAAGTAATTCATAGTTAATGGGAATCAATTCTCCCCCAAAAGAATCTCAAATTTGGAGGTGAAGTCTCTCGGGATAATTTTCGGAGTCTTCACTACATTAGGGCATTTCATCATTTTATGTAGCACTCAGTCTGTTCTTGGGCTTTTAGTGAAAAAGCATCTTTTAGACACATACATTCTATAAGACAGGACATCTTTTTTTAATATAATGGGTACATTATACTAATCATGCTTTTTATGACTATCGCTTACCTAATAGCTCATCTTCTGGTCTACACAGATACATATTCTTTTTTTTTTTTTTTCATGATTAACAAATTTTATTTTATTTTCTTAAATTTTATTATATTAGTCACCATACAATACATCATTAGTTTTTGATGTGGTGATCCATGATCCATTGTTTTCGTATAACACCCAGTGCTCCATGCAGTATGTGCCCTCC